GTGTTCATTTTATTAGCTCGCCTTATCAGAGCCAAGGATGCGATTGCATTTTGTGTTCATTTTATTAGCTCACCTTATCATAGTCAAGGATGTGATTGCATTTTGTGTTCATTTTATTAGCTCGCCTTATCAGAGCCAAGGATGCGATTGCATTTTGTGTTCATTTTATTAGCTAGCCTTATCAGAGTCAAGGATGTGATTGCATTTTGTGTTCATTTTATTAGCTCGCCTTATCAGAGTCAAGGATGGGGTTGCATTTTTGTGTTCACTCTGTTAGCTAGTCTTATCAGAGCCAATGATGTGATGTGATTGCATTTTTGTGTTCACTCTTTTAGCTAGCCTTGTCAGAGTCAAGGATGTGATTTAAGCATGGAATGGCCATTCCCTCCACGCATTATTTCCTAAAATTAACACTCGACACTGCGCAACAATCGTACAAACTTTTGTCACTTCACATTGCAAAATGAGTCCAGTGATTAAATCCTAAAACAAAACCAGGAGATCTTCCATCAATGATATTAAAATGTCGTTATATTATAACTGATGACATTTCCATTGGATCATTGATTTAAATGTTAATGTTTGCATGTCCGCTTGACTTCCCTTTCCTCCTTTCATACATCAGCAATGTGAAAATTACAAAAATGTAAATGCTGCAAACAAGAAAGTCCTTCATTATGCCAACCATAACCTAATGATCCACATGCGGTGTATATTGGATTGAAAGGGGGTGACATGAAATGTTCAGAGTAAAAAAATGTAAAATTATAACAAACTTTCAGACTTTGTTGAATCGCACCTTTTTGCAATAGGTTATGGTATTGTTTGTCCTATTATCGATGGGCTTATGTATTGTGCAGACTTATTAAACATTGAAACTCACGAAAGTAGATATCCTGAATGGGGCATCATACATTAGTTGCCAATTAATATATATTTATAATTATCATAGAAATTTACAATTATATCATTGAAATCTATAAATAATAGGGCAATGTGAAAAGTATAGCATGCGATGACCAGATATTGCACCTTTTCATATCGTGATGTATTTGAAACTATTTTTTTTAGTTCCTGGATTGTATGTTCAACTGGGCTCAAACCGACTTGTTTCTGTTTTTTCTTTATTTTATTCATTGTTTGGCTGTATTACATCTAATTTAGTTGACCTGTTTTATTGTTATGTTCTGTATTATTTTATTGATTGTGTAATTGAGTGCTTGAAATTGTAATTGAGATTTAATGGATCACTATTGTCCAAATCTCAATTGAATGATCACGCATGATTTTATGTAAATGTTTTCTTCTTCCTCTACATATATTGACCCTGTATGTTTTCTCACAGGGCCGGGAGACAATGAGTTGTTTGCCATCAACGAGGTGTCATTTGTTACACGTAGGCTGAGGTTTCGGACACACATTGATACTAGTTAGATGATGGGCGGTTACCGTGTTATTTTTAAGCATGGAAAAACTGCTGATTTAGATTACTTTCATTCATTACAACCTTTATATCGATATATCGTACCCTGTTATCAGTTATGATGTTGCGTCCTATGGTATTCTTACTGTAAATTGATTGTAGCTATTAAGTTAATGTGAACGCTGATTCATACCATCTTTTCGAGAAAGATGATCATTATATGAATGCAACAATGTTGTGTCAACTATATGGATTGGCAAATGTCGAAACTTCTTGTTTAATCAATTTTCTACATCTTTTTTTAATCCACGTCGACACGCCTCATTAGTTTTAATCAACTCTTTCATACTTATCAAAAAGCAATGTTTCAAAATATCACCCGTCATAATCTAGGATCATAACTACTCTACAAGGAGGCGAATAATGTTTGAATAATGAAGTTGGTGTCCTTAGTGATTTGACGTTTTTTCTCTTAATTAAAAATTTGATCAGTGGGTAGGATTAGATCTGTTAGGGATTGACTACATAAGGCTTTGCTTTATGACTTACTCTTGCATCCTTCAGTGAACAATATTGAATATTTATGTGCTTTACTGCTTCAATGTTTAGCTCGCTTTGATTTGATTCATATTACTGAATCAGTAAGATCACATTGCTATCTGTTGGACAAACTTGTATGATATTAGCATAAATTATTTTATAAATGAAAACATTGTTAATGTCACATCTGAGAAAAGTGTTGATTTGTATACTATAGGGTATTTACGTTCTATAAGCTATGCACAAAACATATGATTTGATAAATGGCACAAAATACATTTGTTAATGTTAACGTATATAGTATTTGGATAAATTAATAATTTGGAAATAAGTCACCAACTACTTTAACTAGCAAAAGTATAACAAGTAGCCACTAACCACTACACGCCTTCACTAGTGTGTGATCATTCATGGTTTATCTCTTTAAATACCCTGGGAAACCTACAAATGTCAACGTTACTATCTCTTTTGCTTACTATTTGATAATTGTAATCCTGTTACAATTGCATTGCTTTCTAATTAATTTTCAGTATCAATTGATATCGGCTTCTATTAACGTAATGAATAGATTCCTATTTAAACACACAGTAATTGTATTTAACGTGCAACCTGATATCACAATGTTCAATAACAGTCGGGTAAATTGACTTATCTCTATATGCTTTAGGATTTGTAGTCTAATAGGGCAATTTTATATCAAGCAAAGGGGAAGTCGTCTGGTCAGTTTTTTAAATACACGGAGAGGACGTAATGATAGATACATTTATAAATACATCATTTCATTAGGGGGATATATCAAGTCCATCATTTCAGTGGAACAACAATTCTATCATTTGATAGCTTCTGAAATGCTATTGGAAGAATGTGATTATCATTTAACGTACTACTGTTATAAAAACAAAGAATGTCGATATTAAATCTTATAATAGACAGAGGGGTTAGGTTACACGCATTTGGGAGAACTTGAACGCAAACGTGTAATTTTATGGCCACACGTTGTTTAAACCAGTGCTTACTTAACCTCCCTTATGTTATTATTAGATGATATATAAATTGATGTGACTATTATGTCATTTATTTTTTTCTGGGGACGTATTTACTCTAACATTTTAGAGAAAAGAAAGTGACTAAAATCTCCATTCTTAGCTCCCTAAATAAATATGCTTTCTATTCACTAATTCACAACATTATGTATTGTCAATTCATTCCTTTATATATGCTATAACTCGTGTCATTTTTAATTTTTACTCAAATGTTGATGATTGGTTGATTATTTGATGAAAATTGTTCTTTCTGATTTTTATAAAAATTAATGACAACAATAACAACCAATAGAACTCATTGAACTGATAAATCTGCTTCAATTTCGACGATACTAAATCAAATGTTCAATCAGTTATAAATCCATATTTTCATGATCTTTATGTGAGCAGGCAGCGTGATCTGAAATGAGATTCATTAGCATTTCCATTGCACCGTAGTGGTATTTTTTGTATTTAAAACGCCATTGCTTTCCATTGACATACGTATTGTGCATCAAAATAAGCCATGACTCCAGTCGAAATGTCGTTTTATTTTTAGGTTTAGGCCCAGGTCATATTCCGAATATACATTTTATATAATATGTGCGTGACAACTAAATTTTTCATTGAAACAAATTCATAGATTTTCGAACAAAAAGTCCTTCAAAATTTTATTAATATTGGGTCATCATATACCTGTGAAAGACGACATGTGCAAGGTGTACATTAATTAGCAAATACACATTAGCAAGTTCGATTACACTCATGAACAAAAGTTGGGAATTCAGTTTTCATTTATGCATTTTATTTACAAATAAATACATCATTTACATATTCTTGTCAACTATCATATTTATCAAGTATATTGTATTGTTTGCAATAATATTTATGTTGTTAGCAATATAAAACAATATAAAATGATTGAACTAGATGTGCAAATGTTACCTTGCATTGTGGTATATGTTTGATTGGCGATGCCACGTGCACACTATGAAGTATGTGTCCGTACACTATTATAATTAACATATATGCCTATAAACAACCTGAATATGAATAGATTGGAAAGGAATAAATGAAGAAGTAATAACTCCCCCCCCCCCCCTGGATACTTGCCCCTCGTCAATGGCACTGGCTGTGTGAGTTATAGAACAAAAAACGGACAATTAAAATAAAGACAAAAAACACGACATCTCTACCACAGTGAGTATGTGAATAATACTTCGTCAAATATTCTTATAAATCATACATATTGTTCTCAGTTTTTACTAAATCTATTATTTTCAAACATGCCAATATATGTCATACAATGATTATATATCTGTTTCGAATGTTCCTCAGTTAATCGTGTCCTCAATTTAATCATATAAATCAAAAGTGAATAGTTTGTATGTTATAGTCATACTGTCATATTCATATTGATCTGGTCATTGCTTTATATTATGTTATTTATGAGATTGAGTAATATTATAATTGGAAGAATTACATAACAAGTATGGGGAACGCACAACGTTGTTGAAATTTAAATCAGATATGACGATTGTAATTTCAATAACGAAATGTCGTATTAAAATGCTTTAAATGTATGATTGTAAAACACTATTAAAATGATAAAAAGAAAAAAAATTATGATAGCGCATGTGAATCAATGAAGTGTTTTTGTACACGTTACATGCATACATATTCGAAAGGTACATCAGATGGATGGTCTCTCCACCCCCTCCCTTATTCCGCTAGTGTGGAAACCCCTGATAAATATAAAGTGATTGTTTGCTTGCAATACTAGTATTCGTATTATTTGTACTTTGTCAATTATTAATTACAAATACATAAATCACATCTAGACTAATGCTATATTTGACAGTAATTATTGACTAAAAATCGCTTTAATCATTACATTTAACATTGTAAGAATGTATACACTCCCCTCCAAAAGAGAGACTTTAACACGTCTAAAGGGGAATAAATTGCCAAGCTTCTGGAGGGCAGTGTACGTACGTACATGCGTTTTACGGATAAATTAAACTCATTTTGGCACATCTCTGGAAGCCCATTCTACTCATTTATGTTTCAACCAATGTGGTTTGAATTATATTTTTCTTAATGATCTACAATACTAGAATCCCCCATGTTTCATTTTGTGTCGTTGTCAAGTTGGAAATTATCTAGACTTGCATCCAACCATTGACTACCATGAGACACTTTTTTAGGTTCTCTGGGCAAAACAGAAAACATGGCCCATATTATAGTTTGTATGCATGAGTACTTGCTCTAGTCTACTATGGCCAGTTCTCCAGACTTGAAGCTTCTTATTTCTGTAGAAGAAAGTGATGCGCAATGCACACGAATTCTAAGGAGATTCTAAAATAATATATTTCTGTCTCTATGAACCTATGAACTCTATGAACAACAATTGGCTCCGAAGGCGTTGTTCATAGGTTCAGGGATTGGGCATATGTTACAATGTTCTCCAATTTTGAAGGTCGCAAAAGGGAAGCAAATTCCCAATTTAACAGAAATTGTCCCTTTGGAAAATAGGATTTATCAAGCCCCTCTATGGAAACCGACCAATTTGCCAAGGACTACAAAATCTGATACACAACTTTATCATGAATATGTTTTATAAACCGTGTGGATGCTGTACGGTCGTCTGAATACTGTGCTCAAAATTTGCCATGTCCATTGGTTCATTAAGCACCTTAGTTTGATGCACTTGTAACATCTGTGGACCACGAACTTGGTCAGTGTCTTTAAGTCTAAGAGCTGTTTCATCTACTGTGGTTTTATGGAGCCCCAATGGCGCACTACTGCCAGCGGGTATGTTACTTATGATTGTCTCAGTTTGATTGTCGGTATTTGTGTTAGCATTTTGATTGTCCAGTTTTGGGATATGAACATTGTCTTTGTGAAGTTGCTTGTTCGCTTTATCAGATGCATGCTTTGCTTTTGCCTCCATGTGGGCCTTTTTGCTACGTTTCCATTTCATTCGTCTGTTTTGGAACCAGATCTTCACCTGCAAAACATGTGAATATTTCGTTAGCAATAAATAAGTAAAGATACTATTGTGGCCAAATGGAGTACTAAGAACAGTGATCGAGCCGATGCACTCGTTGACAAATACTTTTCAATGAAATATCGTTAAGACTTGATGACCAAGTGCCCCATTGTAAATAAAACAATACAAATAGACTATATGAATAATGAACATTAGGAATCATAATTCAATCAGTCAGAATCAATCGCTAAGATAAATAAATAGGTATGACAAAAAGGTCCATCGTATAATTCTAATATTTAGAAATAGATCCAGCAATTATTCGAAATTACAAAATATTAATTTAGTCCATCAATCCAATCAATTTATTTGGAGAATGGAGAACAGTTTCAAAATGATATAATTACATTTGAAACATCGAGATTCGAATTAAACCAATTGGTTCGAATATGCTTTCAACCGCAGTGTTCAATGATAAAGCAAAGCAGACAACATCGATCAGTACACGTTTGATACAATATTGATATTGTTAAATGTTTCATTTGGAATTTGCTCTGATCATATTTATATTCACCCTCCCTTATCAGTTGTTCAATTCTATAACTAGGATCTTGGCACGAGAAGAGAGACAAAGGCATAATTAATAGCCCAGAATCAAAAACTAAAAAAGCTTCAGAGAGTAATTTTGATACTAAGTTTGGAACTATTTGTAAACTCATAAATCACTCGGTGCAATGTCGTCAAATGACAGATCAGGGATTAAATGACATTAATATAAAAGTAGTTTATCTAGGTACCACTGAATTACCACTAATTAAATCAAATTATTAATATTACCCAGAGTCATTAGTTATTATCCAACTGACAATACATTTGTAGATCTTGCGTGTGGGTTGGCAAATTCACTCATTAATAACCGTGAAATATGTAATTGGAAAGTATATCTATGTTATTGAAGCGGTTGAGATAAAACATGATCATTTGTCATTTATTTCCTTAAGGAACAATCACTCCATTAATTAACGGTACACACTTCACTGGAGAAATTATATTGATTAAAACGTGAAAAGTACTAATTTGTGTAAGTCAGTTCCACACTGTCTATTCAACCGAGATTGTTTAATTTTGCTAAATTAAATAAAACAAATAAAAAACAACTAAAATTGACAAACTGCACATTATGTTTATTTGAAAAAAAACAACTTAATTTCGAATCGTATGCTCAACATTGATTAAAGTCTATTATGTTGTAATTTATTATGGGGCTATTTGTCAACATACCTGGGTTTCTGTAAGCATTAGAGAGGTGGCGACTTCAAACCTCTTGGGCCTAGAGAGGTATTTGTTCATCTTGAATTGGCGTTCTAGCTCTAACAGCTGCTGACTCGTAAACGCTGTCCTTGGTCTTCTAGTTTTTCCTAGTAGATTATGTTGTTGGGCACCTACAAATAGAAATATTATTTTAAGTAATTTAACGACAATAATTGACATATTTTTTACTAAAGATTTTACAGACATAATGTGAACTAATTTCTGTTGTCATTAGTATCTCGGCAGAATGAGCTAAATTATGCGCAGAGGCAATGTAAATTAAGTTATATTGTCATTTTTATTAAAGTTTATTTATCCATTTATGAAATGTGCATTAAGTTATTTTGTCATCATTATATTATCATTATATACGTAGGTAACGCGCATTAAGTTATGTCGTAAAAAGTAAACCATGTTATATAACTGTACTTGATTGTTTAAAATATTCATTTAAGTGCAAAATAAGACTTGATCTACTTTTAATGAGAATACCAAACTATGATGGGTTATATATGGTCTGCTTGAATTGTTTTGTTGGAGAAACGTCCCTATGCCTTCAAAGATTCAATTACCTCATTTCATTCAAGACTCTGTTCAGCCTGAGTAATGGAATTTAACGATGAAAGCGATGATTAGACTACCCTGAGCGATAAACATTGTGATGAAGTGTGCGTATTCTCATTTAATCAGTCTAATACTGCTCCCAATGATATTAATGTATTGAATCGACGCTATGGGCTGGAAAATTAGGCAGAAAATGGTCAATTTAGAGCTTAAGGGATAGCACTGGGCTGATATTATAATTTAATCACACCAAAACTAGAAGTGAACCAGTTCTATAACGTGATCAATTAAAGTGATGACATCTTATTTTCAAATTGCTCGTCTCTTTCAGAACAGAGAAGATTAGGGATTAACCCAATCGATTCCCTTTCTAAGTCCTATTCTGGTCGGATATAAAGTGATTTCTCAAGCTATCGTACAGGAAGATTACATTAGCATAGAGCATCTAAGAAAATTAAATTAGATTATTGCGCCTTTATCTATAGTAATTAGTCCGATGAAAGATCAAAATCATTGTCGTCATCTTTAACTTGTTACAATTGTGTTTTAATCCGCTTGAAATGGAAAGTGACAATAGTGAGTGCCGAATCAGCAGTTTTGTTATTTCTCTGATTTGGAACAGTATTGTGGTAATTGTACGAGTATTACTATATTTGTGTGGTGGGAATGGGACAAGTAGCTATTATGACTAATTATTTAATCACACCGCGGCCGTTTACTCGACGATAATCTAACTAGTAATGTTAAATAATGCTAAGTGGTCGACGACTGTTCAATCCAAGCTCAATAGCTAATCAAGTAATAAACTCTAACGGTTATTGGCAGATTCCAAAGAGGCAATTTATCCAAGTCGGTGAGCTATTACTAAGTATCCGAATGGTTTCAAAATGATGTTAATAATCGTCGAAAGGTAATGTACCAACGCAAAGACTTCTTGAACTGCGGAAATATATCTCTCACTAGAACGATTTATCTCTCTCGATGGTATTAATATTTCTCATGAAACCTATTTAACCACAATCAAAATATTTTATTTCACTAATTGGATGTCGTAAAATGTGCCATTTCAGTGGAAATGAATATCAGCGTCTAACTACATGGTATTAATTTAATTAATTTTCTCATTTAATTTCTATAACAACATCTTAAGACGCTTATTAGTTTTTTCGCTTTATGCGTGTTAAGCAGGAGTAGTCGAGCAATCAGTTGAACACATATTGACTGGGGACCATTTAATAGATTAACTGGATGAACAGAGCGCCCCTGTTCCGAATAAACACTTTTTCATAATTAATATCTTCTTCCATTCGACAAAAGCAAACAGATCTTCACTTTAATCCTGGTTAGCTAACAGGAAAGCCACTGCCGGAGAAGTAAAAGAGCATTTGATTTGAAATATATGGAGTATGTAAGGTGTTACTTATCACATTTAGTCAACATTTGGCCAATTTAATTTTCCCAACGAAAAAAATTAAGGACTGATCCAGTCATTCAATGTCGTGTTTCTCATGGATCTAATTTTCGGCGATCATCTTTAGGCTAAATATACATTTTAATTTCATTATAGATAATTACAAAACATCTTACAGAACTGATCATATTAATCCTCGTCAGAAATCAGTCTCGAGATAAGTACGATGTAATTACGCTCGATTTTGATGGAGAAATATCGACAAAATTGCTAGTTAGCATTCCGGGCTGAAGCCCCAAAGTCCTACTTAGCATTCAAGTGATTGGAACAGCATACAAATGATTCACTAATTCATTTGCCAATTGAGCTCCCATAGAACTAATGGCCCAAAAATGGCAAATTAAATTAGCAAATTGCGCTAGATTTCAACAGTAAATTCTAGTGTAATCTTGTGTTAATCACGCAGAGTGTTGACAAACGCTGATGAAATGATCAAGACGCAGCTGCCTCGCAAAAAAATCCCAACATAATCTATTTCTACGTCAATTTCAACAATCAGATTCAAATGTTGGCAATCAATTAGCTAGCCTTACTCAATGTTTACCCTGGCTGCATCATCTCACGATCAGTAAAATTCAATTTACGCACAATTCAAAATGGCTGATTAGCGCTCGATGTCATGGGTCAGTACTCAGAACTCGATTTCTCTTACTCCTTTTCAGACATACTTTTATACACTGCAATCTAGTTTGAATCATTTTAATACACTGAATTAAACGTGGGCCTTCTATTGCGATTTTTTATTTTGAGATAACCTGCGACAAATGACATATGTGAAAGGAAGTGGAGACTGTGCTGAAAAAATGTCTTATCTCTAACTTATGAGAATTTTAACGATTACACGTGCGCCAAATAAACACTTCATATCCAAACACGTGTGTCATCCTGCTAGTGTGTTCTTTGCTCATTAAACCCTTTGTTTTAATTGTGTTTTATTGGTTTTCATGATTTCCTCAATTTGGTTTGATATTAGCGGAGAAAAATGCATTGATATACAAATATTAACTCTAACCTTTGATATGTTAATCTAAACAAGAGGAAATACTGTATTTCCAATTGTAATTCTATGTAAAAAATGAATGTACAAGTAATGTTATGAATTGGGTGTGAACTATCTTGCCAAATGATGCCATGTCGGAGTAGGGTAGAAATCATGAATAGAATGTGTATGTGATCAAATTCATCATAACATTTTGACATATTTCAAATTTAATTCAACGATTTTTTTACGAGAGAATTTAGCGAACAAATTCAAACATTGTTTGCAACTGACAATTCGACAATGATGATACCAAGAAACATTTTTAAAATATTTAATTCTGGTGAGGTGAATATTCCAAGAAGCCCGGTTAGTGGCAAGGGCTAGTGGAATATCATCTTGTGAAAGTGTCACAGGTAATCACCGAAAATATAATTAAATATTAGTTTTATTGTTCACTGTTTTATTCCTCGCTTACATTGTCTAATTGATGATAACAATGTTCTCCCGGGGACATATAAAATTAGAGGTACAGTGGACTAAGTCGTGACTGGTGAATATTCCATTTGATATTCAATGAAAGTCACGCCTGTTATCTTTAAGTTACGACATGGACCAATCAGGGAGTGAGGAATATGATACACTGCACTTACAGTCTAGTTATGAAGATGAAGCTCTCTTTTGAGAAGCGAAGTCGAACGAATGCAAAGGGTAGGAATATATGATATCTAATTTCCATAATCATTTCCATAATTTTTTTGTTATATGTTGAATACCAAATTCTTTTTTACACCGTGATTCAATAAAATCAACGGTGTTAATTGGCGATGTTACAATCATTTGATAGATACTCAGTTTATAACTGCATACTGCATGTTCATCAAGTAGTGAACGTTCATCTATACATGCATGGCCAGGTGTAGTTTTCCATTGAGATGTACTGAAGAACTCCCGTCAGTTTTAAATTTGTTAATGTTAGCAAACCACCATGTAAATGTGTTGAAATCAATTGATTAAAAGGGGAAATGAATCTTTTTAATGAATTTATGGGGAAAACGCATATTTTCATGCCAGATTTAGAAAAAATGTATTTACTATTAGATGGTCCATTCATGTATTTGTAATCTTAACCTTGCCGTACAACTTCATGTAACGCCATGATTTGTACCCGGACTTGTATCACCAGTCAACGGACTGAGAATACGAACGAATATGTATTATCCAAAACATTTGAATACCCTTCGATTACCAACAAATATCTCCCGTGTCCTTACTTGAGTTTGAATGTGTTTTATACAAGAAATCCACCTGTCAGGTTACCGATATTTGGGTCTATATATCTCGTTCGGAACACATTTCATGAACTAAAGTGGGCTTCTTCAGCGACCCAGGAGTTGATATATCTGAAGTAATCATTTTAAAACGCGTTAAAACCTAGTCACATGTGATTATACTTCAATTTACTTATCTTTGAATTGCCTGTTCACGTTGAGTGTTTGGGACAAATATTACACGAGACAGTGCTTTATCAACTCTAGAAGAGATACTAGGCTTACAGCTGGACACCTCGAACAATTGAAAGATAGAATTGTGCAATTGTATTGATTAAATCCTTTGATATATTTCCGATTTCAAGTGATTATATGTAATTGAGTAAGATAGATTATGCTGCTACTCTACTTTATAATCAGTATATGAAGGATGATATAAGAATCATTGGACATGAAATAAGTTTCTGAAATATCTAACATACTGGCCGGCATACTGGTTGTGAAGTAGCATCTTGTCACGTAAGATGATCAATAAAATAAAAAATAAAACTATTTTATTTCTAGTTCGTGTATCGTGACGTTTAACGCCAGGTATAAATCATTGACGACGTGTCGATCGTGTTAATAATTAATGAAGAATAATAAGCGATCACAAATCGTTCTTAAATCAGTCATAAAATCGGCCATACGCGTACAGATGGTGTTGTTTTGTAAGATGCCATTGAAACGAGATCATAATGAAATTTTAATTAATTGGCCGCAAAGGGGAGGTGAATTGATGAGCTTTAATTAACTCAATGATTGTCACAATCTGGGAGAAAAACACTAATTAAAATATAACAATTTTGTCATTTGATCATTTCCAGCTACATGAAAAGATGTGCGTACACTGATTTGAGAAAAGAATGTTCGTTGAAGAAAAATACCTCACTATAAATATATAATATCGTAAAATTCATCTGTATTGTGTCGTATTATCTAGGATTATGATAAGGATATACACATAAGAATATCTCTTAATTATGATATCAACGTAGCAATTCTGTTAATCACGTATTTAATGGCTTTCCCACGGGGGCTATGTTCCAAAGCGTAATCTGTTGAACTCTCAACACTTCAGTAAGCCAATGTGCTAAATACATAGATCCTCAAACAATTATCCTTTGAACTGCTTAAAGACAACAGTAGTTTAATTAATTCAATTGAAATCTTAATTGAATTATTCTTGATATACCACACAACAAACAGCACAATTTTAAGTTATCAACAGTGAGGTATTCGTATCAATACTATACACTATAGCTCGATACTTAACATTATAATCACAAGTTATGCAGTACACATACTATTAATGTTTTATAATCAATTAATATATTAGCAGAGATATGTGCTTATGTCATAAAAGATGAAATGAAATATTCTGTACATTACGAAGATTCGATCCCACGCACAGTTTGTGGAAATCATAATAGTTTGTCGTGGCTACTTTTGCACTTGTGTCATTTTGACAAATGTATCAATAAATCTGTACGATATTTTCTTTGATCTCAATTATCTATCTTTTGAAGTGATCAGGCACCAGCTCGAATGATTAAAGCACTAATTACTCAATAATAAATTAATTAGTAGTAATTAAACTATGCGCATTCGCAGAGAATATGAAGTGGCAATCGTAGAGTTTGCTTTGTTGAAGGATCAGCCATCTGGGCATGGGATTCGTAAATATATGAAATATAGCACTAATCCCACCCAATCATCTGTTTCATTTTTCAACATCGATTGTGTCTGCAGAACCACTTTTAAGGTTTTTTATTTCGCGATATGTTCTTTACTGAATCACTTATATGATAGAGTATGTGTCCGAATTGTGAAATAAGAAACAATTATAATATCACATTTTCAACAAATCGGGTTCTCTTTAACTGCAAAATATGTTTAGCGGTTTATGAGCATGCTGCTACCGTATTTCACCTATCTCAACTCCGCAGGTGTCCATGAAATATGACAGCCATCATATTGTACCTTCATGAGACCATCAAACATGAATGAAGCCTAATAGCTGCTCTAAACTAATCATATTATGATATAGAAGAAACAGAAAGCGAGTATGCTCCATTGAAAAGGTTTGAGGAACACCTCCCAAAATTGTAGGAAGCTGGCATTGCACAATTTGCCATTCCGTATCCTTTACGCACACACAGCTGTAAGGGGGGCATGGAGTGGCATTAATTATACACATTTACAACGGTTTCTTTGAAAATATAATCTTTTCAAACTTCGCCTTGACAATTTATATTGAATTATCCTAAGATTTTGTAGCTAATAAAATCCTAATTTACCGGGTTTCAATCGTGACACACTGAAAGTGATCACGGGTAATTTGTTTCACGAAGATATCACTTATTACATTCATTATAATATCTGTTTAATTCATGTACCATAAAGTTAAGTGCTCGTAATATATTGTTAAATAGTTATGATTTGCTTCTAATGAGAGTCATCAAACTTGAACTAGGACATGACTTTTTATCATCCGAATATGAAGTGCACTTACAGATAAGGCAAACACTTTTTCCTCTTTTTGTTTCCTTGGTAATCAAAGGGACACATTGAATATATCATTGAAAGAACTCGTACCTCGATATTTTTGAAAATTATTTTTCGATTTATTTTACATTCGTTAGTTATGTAAACGTATTAAGAACTGTGATATTCCACCGTCGGGGAAGTTTCTCTTTTTAGGTTCAACCTCAAGTATTCGCATGTGTTTTCTTATTGTCATTTAAACCAACTTGATGTGAATATAATGTTTAACTTGCATTATTATCATTTCCTTCACACCTTGTTTTAAACCGCTAAGTTGGCATTTCTTTTTATGTAGTGCTTAATTTATATTGACACTTTGTATTGGTAATACAATATATTGTAAATAACAAGTCGTTTTCAATCTTTGCAAAGAGCAATCACTTAAATCGTAATTAAACTGATCATTTGAACAACATGAATTCTGCTTATTTGTTTACGTGTTCGATCTAATTGATTTGCGGCAAAGATCAATGAAGTGTGTTGTTTATTACCTGCAAAGTCCATCACCCTTGGCATGAACATCCCCGCCCTCGCTAACCAGTCGAGGTTCATTCCCTGGGCCTGGGCTGCCTTTAAAGCTTGCTCTGCCGGGGAGTGGAATGCACTTCCCGGCAACATCGGATGGGGTCCATGGGGAGATCCCCCTAGACCCGAGTACATAGGGTGCGCGAACATTCCTGGTAGGAGACCCGCAGTGCTCATATTATGTCCATTCATTCCATGCATATGTAAGAGTCCAGGTTTAGGAACAATACTGCTTCCTCCCATACCCCCGGGGCTAAGACTGGGGCTCGAACACGGGGAGCTCACCGGGGTGGATCGCATCGATTCCGATGAGCTCGGACTCATTGGTGGTGTCTTTGATTCGGGCTCCGGACTGTCTCTGTCTCTTCCGAGTAGTGCATCGATACTGAATTTGGACTTAACCGAAGGAACTTTCGCTGTCTTCATTATTTAGTTTTATTAGATGCTTTAAATGTTTTTATTTTGTTTTGTGTAGTACATGTAGCAGTCAGCACATCTTACTTTCCTCAATTTAGATTTACGTCCTGATTGTTTCAAGATTTACAATTTTATTTGATAGTCCTAAGTCAAATATTGTATCAGCGTAATGTCTTACGAACAACTGTGTCAAGACCAAAAATGAAATCGCCTTTTCAATCTGTGGAGGGGCTTTAAATCATTTATTTCGGCCATGTTTGATAATCTCTAACCTGATTGGTTAGTGCGGACGAATATGCAATTGTATCAAAAGACTCAATAGCCGGTGCTGATATCGGCTAGCTTTAGTTCCCAAATAATGAATTGTATTTAATTAAGATCTCGGTCTATCTGAAATTATAATGAGATTCGATAACTCCAAGAAGCTTTGGTCACGATCTCACAAATATCCATTTATGATGATGGTAAAGATAAATGCCAGGGGATAACTCTTCTAAAACTCCTGTCGTCAAAAAAAGATTTACTTGTAGTTTTTTGTCCATGTGGTTTGGTTCGGATTATTAAACAAACAACATAATCTTGTTTGCGTCGAGCTGCCTATTCCTTAAGGAATGGTATACGTAGCTATCTGAATTTAAAACTTTATATAGCATATATATATAAAGAATTTTTATTTATCATTGATTTATGTTTCACTATTTTTATTTTATGCCCGTTTTCTTAATGGATATACATGTAAGTATTAGCAGATCACATTTTTACTCAATATAATATGTTATATTTATACATCAATATAATTTAAATGTCTGTTGTATGTGGTTTCCAGAGACTAGGCCTCTTACGTTAAATCATTACCGCAGGTACCAGTATCAGACATTAATGTATATATTTATGCATCCCTACCTTTTTCTACCAAATAATTTAGTTTTACATTATTGTCACATTTAAACAAATAATAGCTTGCTAATGGTCATCGTTAAAGATAAAAACGTGCTCAATTTTAACCCCTTACGTGTGATAAGGCACTGCTTTGGTGATAACTCTATGTTTATTTGGCGATTATAATTAAATATCAACTTGAAGATTATTTACTCAAATGTATGGGATCTATAATTGTTATTCAACACATGTGGACCGCTGCTTATCTTTGCCTCTTATCTTGCACCGTGGTTTTGTCTCGTAAAATGCGAGAGGTATCCCATTCTTACACTTAATTAAATGCGAATATTGTCCCATTCTTACACTTAAATGCGAGTATTGCCCCATTCTTACCCTTAAATTCGAGTGTTGTCCCATTCTTACACTTAAATGCGAGTTTTGACCCATTCTTACACTTGAATGCGAGTATTGTCCCATTCTTACCCTTAAATTCGAGTGTTGTCCCATTCTTACACTTAAATTCGAGTGTTGTCCCATTCTTACCCTGAAATTCGAGTGTTGTCCCATTCTTACACTTAAATGCGAGTTTTGACCCATTCTTACACTTAAATGCGAGTTTTGTCCCATTCTTACCCTTAAATTAGAATGTTGTCCCATTCTTACACTTAAATGCGAGTTTTGACCCATTCTTATACTTAAATGCGAGTTTTGTACCATTCTTATCCTTAAATTCGAGTGTTGTCCCATTCTTACATTTAAATGCGAGTGTTGCCCCATTCTTACACTTATGCCCCATTGGTACCCCATTCTTAGACCTAATTGCGAGTGGTACCCCCATAACTGCAAGTGGTATCCAATTTTGAACTCATCACATCCTTTCGTAGAATTTTAAGATTTAGAAAAATACATGAAGGGGTGGTTTACAGTGATAATCACATGGTTATCGTAAATGAGGCTTTTTTCAAGAGTATTAAGTTTATTCTGCCTCTTCAAACAAATGTTTGCCCAGTTCTAGTAGTGGCATTATACCTGGCCTACCGCCTGTTCTAGTCGTTTTAGGATTCTTTGTATCGTCGATATCATTATAAGTAAAACGAAAAACTGGTTTTCTGTTTTTTACGTAAAAAAAACATACCAATGGCCGAATTATCAAAGAATTCAAAATGGGCGCCATGTGAATTAGCTAGCAAAACCAAAACATATTCAGATCTTGGCACAAGTCTGTTGTTGCATCTATAAAAATTTCAAGTTTAACGGATAAGTGTTTTTCCTGGAATTTCGATGACAAAATTTCGCAAAATTAAAAATGGTCACCATGTAGTTTACAAAATCAGATCTTGACACTAATCTGCTCTTGCATCTGCAAAAACTTCAAGTTGAACGGATAAGCGGTTCACCTGGAATTTTGATGAAATTTAAAATGGCCGCCAAGTAATTTACCTAGTATACTCTAAATCTAATCAGATCTTAGCACTTGTCTGTTCTTTTGTCTGTTACAATTTGTTGAAGTTGAATAAGAGAGTTTCTATATGGCTAAATAAGCTGATATAAGAGATGTCACACTTGTTTGTTTTCTGTTTTGTTTGGGCCAGACTGCCATTGACTTAAATGTTATGAAATTGCAATAGTCATTTAATTAAAAAAAACGTTGGTTGTAATGGCATACTATGGGGTGACCCTGTTCATTCGCATATTGTGATTAGTTATGAAAATGTTGGTTGTCTAACGAATAAACAGAGGTTTTAAAGAATTTTAGCGTTGCATCAATGGAGATTTGGCCCAAGTTTTTTTTAAAAGTCATGGATAAATTATTTAAATGACATAACTATAGCCTAATAATCAAAGTTATTATTGTAGAAATCGTTTCACTGATTTCAATTATGATATTAAAAAGAGGAAAAGTGAGTCATTAAAATTAGTCATTAGAGGTTCAATGTGCAAATCTCTAAAAATCTCACGAAAAACAAGAGTTGGCGAGATTTCAAAGCTATATAAAAATTCCTCTGTTGCAAAATTTCAAGTCAAGTTGAACGGATGAACGGTCCATCTGAAATTTTGCTGACATAGCCTAATGTTATACTTTGGGCGTATAAAGTTTTTGAAAAAAAAGATATATGATTTTTATTATCCCATAATCGCCCACGTATTAATCATGGGACGAATGGTACAATATATTAGGCCCAAATGCCCTAATACGTCACTTCCGTTGAATAGAAAAAAGTAGTTTTCAAAAATGAATGTAGTCCCAACACAATTGTGATCATGACGAGTCAGTAAGCTAGTATGTAGGCACAGTTGTCATCTTTTTGCAATGACAACATGCCATTTCTTCTGAAAATGCGTTTACTTGGGTCATCTGAAGGAAAATTTCGAATCAAGTGGCGTATTAATTTTGCCTTCATTTTTTTGAATTTAAATTTCTGTCGGCAGAGAGAGGGGGTAGTGTCACAATTGTAGATGTTTGGCCCCTATTGAGTTTAGTGTCAAAATGTAGCTTAGACATAGCTTTAGAACCTCAGATAGGCCAGTGAGGCCACATAAATCCATAACTCGAGATAAAAAGTCAGGCGTTTGCCCTTTTGCCCATTGACTAGTATGGTGACGTGAATTAGGGCAGTTTGGCCTATAATCAAGCGAAAGTTATAAACCTCGATATGCTGTGTTTTCCTTCATAACATGTATATCACCCACAGTGCTGCAATTTGTTATACACTTTGTTATTGTTTATTCAAACATGACCGTGCTCTATTCGAATTTCTCAACCAATCAGAATGCAGCATAGCCAATATAGAACGTTCTCTAATTCTCCATAGATGCACGACCATGCTCTATTCAATCTGCAATTTGCATTGTTTTGAGTGACGTCACATCTCAGCTGCACATCTGGGGCTCTGTCCGGTGATAGATGTTCTTTTTTACTCCCTCCGTAGCTACTGTAACTATTTAACTATGGCTGACCCATGTTTGCATACACCGTATAAAATCTAAAACGGGGAGTAAAATAGAACAGCCCAAACAAATTCTAAAATTTTTCCGGCCGACTTCAGAATCTTGACAGCATGCGTATTCTTCCTTCATGCCCGTTCCACAGACACGGCTTTTACTAATTTTTATGTTTGAATCGGAATAAATAATGATAGGCCATTCAATATGGTGAAATTCAGCACTCGTTGGACAGAATGTTAGTACAAATGCACTCACCTTCGGTTCGTGCTTTGTACAACATTCTGTCCAACTCGTGCTGAATTTCACCATATTGAATCATTATTTATTCCTTAAATATATCATGTCCACTTGATTCTTTAAACGTGAGACTTTAAACATGCAATGAAGCGAGTCACTGTTTTGACACCAGAGAGTCAATGAAAGATAGTAGATATAGGCATTAACAAATGATGACGTAGTACACATACTTCTATTAGTTATAAACATAAGGGATTTATAAACACGCTGTAAGTGCGTTGCGAAATCTCTCTATTATGTTTTCTATCTTTTTCTTATCTTTTTCTTTCCATATGAATAAATACAAATTATTCACAATTTTAAACAATAGATTACATGTGCACATCATTTACACACAAACGCTATATTTTAGGTATTCGAAGTAAAAGTACAACAATCATTACGATAAAGTTTTGTTTCGTGAGATACGAAATGCGAATACTAATCTATACTTATTATATCCATCATTGAGATTACTTTATTTCGACTTTTTATGATGTACATATACAAGTAAATATCAACACCCTAAACATTGTTTAGCCTATAACAAGTGGAAGTATTATACAATATTGTTAAATCATTCATTTGCATAAATGACAGATGCAAAAATATAATATGCTCGTATCCATTCCTACGCCACTTGCTTGCTGTCGTTAATTCAGTTAACCTGATTTTGTTATACCGAACTCCGAGTAAGACTATAAAATATATTGTTAATGTATGCATGCATGCAGTATAATCGCGTGGAAGATATGAGGCGTACCTGGTTGTTAATCAACTGTATTTGACCTATTTCAAGTAGGATACATACATTAAACTAGGTCACAATGACCTATTTTGTTCAATCATGCAATCACTTAATTATTTTTAGCTTCAATGTAGGCTATGATCTCACATACGAGTAAATTGTTTATAATTTATTCGCAATGACATCGATAATATTTATGGAATCATCATAGAATTCTCTCATAAGCAGCTGCATTGATTCGACCCATTAACATAGCAACAAACCCCGCCACTTTCATTAGCTTTATTCTTCACAGCCAATAAAACACGAACATCTCCAACTAAACTACATTAGAGAC